ACGGAGAAAAAGGGCTGTAGAATTGTAGCATGATTTAGTGATCCAATAATAGTCCACGAACCCTCTGAAATAGACATCTGCCAAACTAAATCTTGGATTTAATTTTAATCCATCTGACTTCCTCTGGATTTATCTAGGGCTTTCCAATAAAGAGAAGAGCCCCAGAATTCATCAAGAAAGAATGTCATTTAATTAATGTCCTCATCTCCCTTAATACATCCTTCACATGCAGTCTCAAATACGGCATTTAGCTGACACTGTGACTGGAGCGACATCATCTCTAAGTAAGTCACCCTCTGACATTGCTCATGCTGCTGTGTTAATGAGATTTTCGGCCCACTTTGATTAGTTCTGCCCTCGCACCACAAGGAACCTGGGCCCCATTCTATCCGAAAGACAAGCTGCTAAGGTGAAAGCAGTACCGTCACAATAGGTTAAAACTAGAAGCTGAGAAACAGTGGCATTTGTAGAGACCTCTCATAATTAAAGATCTGTTATAGCTCTGCCATTAAGTTGACTGATTTGGATGGATGTGTTCTTTACTAGACTAAGTCCGTGTATTTTTTTTTAATAGACTGCCACCTCATTTTAGCAACTGTGATATAGTTGTCTACCCTTCATAAATTTGGAGACTAGTAAAAGTTCCCTTACATGAAGCATCTCTTGCTCCAGACTGTAAATCACAGTCGCTGCTTTACTGCTCTGTAGAAGTAGGCAGTTCAGTGCTCTTTTTCATGCTATAAACATCTGTTGTAAGCTGAAATGGAAAAATATATAAAGAGCTTAAACTGTAGGAAATCATTATCAAAGGAAGCTAAGTCTAAATCAGTTCATTGCATTACCAACTGCATCGTTTTAAACTTAGTGGTATAAATCATTCCAGTTTCAGGAATCTAGTGTAATTACTTCATTGTCCTCAAATAAATTAAGTAGATATCACTGGGGCTGTGCATGATCAGAATCTAACAGAAAAAGGGATTATTTTATTCTTCAGAATGATAAATCTACTGAGATATCCGGCAAAAACCCTTACTCACCTGAGCAATGTTTACATGTCCAAATTGTGCCACTGAAGTTAATGGGAGTGTTAATGCACATGTAACAGTTTGCATGATCAAGATCTCCATTCGCCCACTGGACTTTCAAAACTGTGGTGGGGGAAGACTCTACTTATGTAGGTTTCTTGTACAAGGGGCTGAAGGTGGGTTCCATTTAACATGGACACAGTTATACAGACTAAAACATAGGTGAAATCCTGGCTTGATAGGTCAGCTGTGGAATGGGTGAACACTTTTCCCAAAATGATCACTCTATATCTGACCTATCAAGGAAATCCTGAACAATACTTTCAAAAGACGAGCATGGGAGCTTAAATTCATTACTAGACACTAAAAATCATGGACTGAATAGATGCTCTGGATTTATGGTTTATTACAATAATCTGTAACCCACTATCTCCTTTTTTTTGTCCTAACTCTGCAGAGGTGTTAATGGGCCACTTTAACTTGAATGGTCCCTTACACTATGTGCTAACTACTTATGCTAAACAATCTTGCATTTAGCTGTGATGCTGGGAGTACCTGCAGGTCTGGGAAAGGAGAGCTCTGTGTGGCTCAAAAGCTCGTCTCTCTCACCAACAGAAGTTGGTCCAACTAAAGATATTACCTCACACACCTTGTCTCTCTCTTTTCATTTTGCTGCCAGTTCTGAAAAAAGTTGGAAATAAACAGTTGATTCAACCCAAACAAACCAATTTTTTCAGCGTTTTGGGCCAATCAAAAAAGTTGGGGAAAAAAGTCTTCGAGACAAATTAAACATTTTGTTTTGTGCATTTTAACAAAACTAAAGGAAATGAAAGGCTAAACTCACAAAATTGAGGTGGCAGTGGTCCCCTTAAAGCGTTTAGCCCAGTGATTTGGAGACTCACCTGGGACATGGAAGACCCATGTTCAAATCCCTGCTCTAGAGCAGGGACATGAACCCATTCCTAGCCCCCCAGGCTGTAGGATATAGCCTGATTCCCAGGCTGTACCATGTTCTGGAGAAGAGCTCCCTCAACCTCTCCTGTTGAAGTTGTTCCACTTTGTATAAATAATCAAATATTCCCTGCACATGGGACTGGAAACTATGTGTTCTCCCCACTCTCCAATAAATGAACTAACCACCAGGCTAGAGTGTCTCTCTCTGGTCCAATGAATATTTAATTATTTATACAAAGTGGACAGCTTGAACAGGAGAGACCTGGCCCAAAATACTCTAGACGCAGAGGATCAGCACACACACCTGGGAGGGGACAAACCTAGGTTCAAAGTCCCTGCTCCTGCTCCAGAGTGGGGACTCACACCTGGATTTCCCACATCCTGGGTGAGTGTCCAAACCACGGGACCAGAGGTTACCAGGGGGCAGAGGGTGCTCTATCTCCTTGGTTTTCTGAATGGCATCCAAAGCTATCCCAAAAATATTCAAGTATTTTATTTTGAAAATGTCTAAAGGAACTGTTCTGACATTAATTAACAATTTTTTTTATTTTCTTGTTTTGCCCAAAACAAGTTGCTGAAATCAACACAAATTCACAAAACATTATGGTTGACCCGAATCTGCATTTTTTAGCCAAAAAGGAAAAAGTTTTGGCTGAAAAATGTCACCTAGCCTGAAGTTATAGCAGTATACAGTTGGTTACCAAGCTATATTGATATCACACACAAAAACTACATTTACAGCATATGGAAGCTGTGAAACCAGAATTAAGGTTTATTACGCATCTGACACAAAAACTATGTGTAGACCAGCCCCTTGCAGTGAAGCTTGACTCTATGTATCAAGTTCCTCTTTGCTGTCAGAGGTTGAGATAGTGATGGTGGGGAGGGGAAGAAAGTAACGTGTGGTGCTAATACCACTGGAATGCATTTATACAGCGTTTAGCAACTACGTGGCAGATGATTAAGGCTGCTAGCCCTAGGGATTAAGCACCTCCTACGTGCAGGAGAGCGGTGTCCTGGTTAGTCCTGCTCCCTGCATCTGTGAAGAATGCTGATCAACATTTACAAATCTTAATTAGGCCTTACAACATCCCTGTGTGGGAGGTTTTATGCCTATTCTTATGGCAGAGGTCACCAGGTGGCTCTGTTGCACCATGTTCCAAATGAGCCCAGTTCATACAAATCTGTCTCTAATAGGCATGATGAGACAAGAGATTCTAATTCAATTAATGATATCTTTGAAGTGCTATAAAAATAGTTAAATTTCTTTAGTAAAACCAAAGAGATTTGCAATCATGTAAAAAATCACCAAACTGGTGGTATGGTGAAAAGACTGGTCACAAAAAGAGGTGTTATAAATTCAAGGCCAATCAGGACAGAGTATCACAAGTACATAAAGATCATCCCTCACTCAGTATGGGAAAAACAGACGGACACCAAATTGAAGAACCAAAGCTTGGTGGTAGTCCTCGAATTTTGTTTAAATCTGGGCAGCTAACAACAATAATGGGATCGTGGACACTGAATGTTTGATAGAAACTGTGAAGTGCACAGGAATTGTAGATAGTGGCTCAAATGTAACAGTTTTTAGACCAAATAGAAGTAAAAATGCTCAGGCATGGAGCACCCAGAACCAAACAATTTAATTGGTCTCAGATTGGATTACTGTAATGCATACTTAATGGGGATACACCTAAAACAGTTTGACAACTTCAGCTAGTACAGAATGTGGCTTATTTTTGTTAAGTTAATCAGGAACAGGTTTCAGATAAAATAAACTAACATGAACTGGAGTAAGTGGGTTTGCATCAGTTTACCTAAACCACACCAAGTTAGTATGTTGACAAGGACTTACCCGCTCTCTCGAGGCAAAACAAAGCTGGAGGAGTGTCTTTCCAAACACGCTGCTGCAATTCTGGCCAACGTCAGCACTGCCTTTCAACTTGAGAAATGCAAATATACAGTAAACAATACCAGACTGTCCTTTCCCCTTAATCTTCTGTTGAATAAGCTATTTAAAGATCAAGCTGCCAGAGAAACGAGCAAGAATTTTCAGCACATACTGTTCATGGTATCAGGAGGAGAAGCAACCCTGATAGCAGTCCAGTGCAATCCCTGCTGAATGCCAAATTATGCTGTAGGGGGACAGTGGAGAAGAGTCTGGCTATTTCTTACTTTATCATCATTACAATAAATAGCAATAAATAAAAATACACCTCTACCCCGATATAACGCGACCCAGTATCACACGAATTCGGATATAACTCGGCAAAGCAGTGCTCCAGGGGGGCGGGGCTGCGCGCTCTGGCGGATCAAAGCAAGTTCGATATAACGCCGTTTCACCTATAACGCGGTAAGATTTTTTGTCTCCCGAGGACAGCGTTATATCAGGGTAGAGGTGTAATTAGTATTTAAAAACTACTTGGCATTCCTGTAGTGCTTTTAATCTAAGGATCTGAAAGCAATTTTATAAACACTAAGCTGGATACCACCACCTCCCGCTCTGGTAAGGTATTGTTATTGCATCCAAGTTACAAAGGGATAAACTGAGGCACAGTGAAGCTGAAATGACTTGTCTAAGGTCACAGCACAAGCCTACGGCAAGTTTAGGCTAGTGGGTCGCCAGATCCTCAGCTGGTATAAATTAGTGTAGCTCCACTGACTCAAATGATTAATGCCAGTTAACACCAGCTGAGGATCTAGCCTTGAAACGCAAGAGTCTGGTTTGGCTGAGTTCTCTGGTGCTGTTGACTTTTTTGTTGTATTATCTGACCTCATTTTTAATATTCCTAAAGTTAACCTTTAGATGGAATGGTAAGATAAGATACCAACACAATTCATGTTTACGTGTGGTCTTTATCTGAGGAAATGACGTGTCTCTGTTATTCTAAAAATGTGTTCATGTGAGTGTGTGTAAAGAAACTGATCACTGCATAGTCTGAAGTGGGAGTGGTCTGCACATTCACACAGTGATATACACATAACCCTCCTCAACCCAGACTAGCATTCAGAGAAATTCCTGTTCGCTGAAGGAAGGATTACATTGACCAGACATTACTGCAATAGAAGTGAGTGATATCTAAGAATTGAATATGACAAAGAAACTGACTTCTCTCTTCTCTTTTCAATTTTCCTTTTCCAGTCTTATTCTGTCCCCTTTAAATACATTGCTGCTACTAGGTAGAAAGAACTATATTCTCCTGCCATATATGGCACTTGTACAGCAAGTACTTAAAATGTATAATTTTTGCAGTTTTGGGATTATTAAACACAGAACTGAGGGACTAATCAAGCTAGCTACAGTCAGGTATAATAATTAGTTATGTGGAACAATTCCTGTATATATTAGCTTGTAAGTGTATCTCAAACATACCTGCAATATACCTGCTATTCTGCCTTTAGGCTTTTTTGACTGCTTGTTGCGCTGAACTGCCTGGAGGTTTTGTGATCTGTACAAACAACAAGTGCACTACAAATGAAACTAAATTCACGAACTACAGTAGGTGTCCAGAGGCAAAAAGTCAGTGCAGAAACCTGCTGAGGGAGACAGCATCAGTTAAATGATGAGGAACAGGGGCTATTTGTTTTGATCCATTTTGATAGTCGGGATACTTGTCTAATATGAGCTAAAGAGATACTGTAGAAGAGGCAAACACGTTCAAACAGTGAAAGAACAGGTTTGCATAGAGAGCTGCTCTCATTCTGGAATAAGTTGCTTCAAAGCTTTTTATTAAGTTAAAACAATATTCTATTATAAATAAAAGCTGACCATCTATGTAACCAGTGGTTCTGGAACAATTTGTATAGTGGGTGTGCTGAAAGCCATTTAACAAAACTGTAAACCCTGTACATGATGGAAATCAGTTCAAGCCAGGAGGTGCTGCCACACCCCCAGTATTCTTAGTTCCAGCACCCTATTCATGTAACCAGCCGAACGGCAGGGTAATATCAGAGGAATTAGACGGCTATTAAACAGTACTGAGCAGTTCCTTTGGGCTTCCCACTGGTCATTTTCTACACTATCCCCTCTCTTTTCATTCATCCAACCACAGGGTATGTCTACACTACAGGATTAATCCGAATTTAGATAATTCGAATTTGGGAAACAGGTTGTATAAATTCGATTGTGCGCGGCCACACTAAGCACCTTAATTCGGTTTTAAACCACATTAATTCGGTGGTGTGCGGCCACACTACCCCATTAACTTAAATACAGTAATTCGGTGGTGTGCGTCCACACTAACCCTAATTCGAATTAACAAAATCAATTTAGGCTCTACTCCGTTCGTCGAGGTGGAGTACAGAAATCGATTTAAAGGGCCCTTTAATTCGAATTAACTGGCTCTGTAGTGTGGACGGGTGAAGGGTTAATTCGGATTAAGGCAGCTAAATCCGAATTAAAGTCCTAGTGTAGACCAGGCCACACTCAAACTTTCAGACCCCTTGCAGCATTATTATGCAGAAAGACAAATAGCTAAAATAGTTTATTTTAGCTGCGTTTTTCTTCCTTTGCAATTTAGCCATTGTTATTTCAGTGTCCGAATATGCTTTTCAAAATTTTGAAATCATATTGTAAACCTTTGCCCAGACTTTTACTATTCTCCTTCTATCTGGCTCCTGCCTTCGTCCACAAATACACATGTGCACAGAATCCACCTGAGCACGTCCTCCCGTTAATAGCCACTTTCATTTAATAGCAATACCTTTACTATGCAATTTAACACACCAAACTTTGCATGGTATCTTTAGCCAGAAATATCCTGCCATTGCTTTCTGTGCTCTGTGCTTTTACATTTTGGACAACTCCGCCTGTGTGCAGAGACAGCAGCCATTTTGTACTTACTTGCTGAAACTTTTGCAAAAGAGATGCACACACTGAATTCTCGTCTGGAGATTTTACTTTTGTTCATTCTTAATCTAAAGTAAAAAACACCTACATGCTGAAAATATGCAGTTGCTCTTTGTGTACAGAAAAACAACACTTAAAAATATGTTTTCATCTCAAATACGCTATATGGGGACGAGGAGTTTTGGAAACTATACACAGAGTAGAAAACACATTCAAAGTGGTTCTGTACAATTAGTTTAGTTTCATATTCCCAGGGAAAATATGACTAGTTTAAGGTTCATGCTATTCAGTTTATTATCAGATAGTAGTCATATATATCAATAGAGCCATACCTTGTCATTTAGTTTCTTATATACATATATATTTACAAGAGGCTTCACTCACTAAGGTGATTCAGTGGAAGTGGAGGCTTCCAGTTGAATTATCCTCTTTTCATTGCATGGATTTGCTAGATAGCCATCATTCTTACCTTTTGGTTGTGTGGTTCAACGAGGGGAAATTATTTCATACAATAGGTCTGAGCTATGTGGGAGTGGAACCTGAATAACCGCATATGTTGTCCATGAATCCCTTTTCCAGAATGGTTTTAAAACTCAGTATTCCCACTCTCTGCTTCTACACTTTGCAACACCAACACTCTTTTGCTACTGCTAGTCCAATTCCTGCCATGTTTTTGCAGAAGTCTCAGTACAGGAAAGGGAATTTGGGGGGAAAGGAGACATTAAGTATAATCTCATGTTCTTTGTAGTTTACTATGTGAACGTTTTCTAATTCCACTGATGCGAAATCTCCTTAAAAATTTGCATTTCGTGGATTTTAGATTTTTTGTCTCAAAACCCAAGTCAGTACATCATAGGGTGACACGAAATGGAACCAAGTGGTGTAATTTTTCTAGTGTGCACTGGGAGCAAAGACATCAGGAGCGTGTGGCACAATGTTCTTGGCTTCAGTTTGGTAGTCATATATCCCTACTGAACAGGTAAAGGGGGGGGGGAGTACAGTAATTAGATGTAATACAAGCTATCCTTACTTTAAAAGTGCCCTGGAATTAAAGCATCACTGGGAAGTAATTACATTTAATAGAAAAAATTCTTTCTATAAAGATGGATAAGATCTTCAGCTGGTATGCCTTCAGTAGAGCTATGTTGATTTACACTAGCTAAGGATCTGGCCTCTAATGCATATATCATTTCAAATTGGCACTATTCTGCATCCTATAAACATTGTACCAGATAACCCAGGTGATTTTTTTCTAGTTTAATTATTTATATATTTTAGATCCCACATAATCGTTACATACAATATAATATTAATCAAAACAATCTAATTTATACAGAGCCAGTAGGTCCAGGCTCTCTAGGAACATTACACAACGAACAGAAAATATTTGATCAAGGAGAAATGGTACCCTAAGCCCTAGAAAATGAAAAAGGCCTTTCATATTGCCACTTTATAGAAGTGGCTAAAATCCATGACACTGCAGTGCAAAGGTCACACAGGAAGGCATTTTGAAATGGCCCAGTGAAAACAAATGGGCATTGGAAATATCTCCGTTACAACCCTCTGAAGTCCAAAGCACCAGCACCTCTGACCTGAAAAGGGAAAACAGATGGCAGACAGAAACAATTGGTAACGATTAGAATAGCTTTGGACCTCTCTATGTTTAATAATTATTAATAGAAAAGAGCAAATCCATACTTGGATATTAACAGAATATCAGAGTATTAATGTTGTATGAAAACAGTAACCATTAGGCTGTGGGTGTGCTGAGACCACTGCCTATCATACTGATCAATACCATTTCATTGTTACCTTGTACTCTCCTGTCTGTTGTCTCTTGTCTTATCCTTAGACTATAAGCTCTTTGGGGTAGGGACTGTGGGGTCCTGGACCATGACTTGGACGCCTAGGTACTATGAATATACAAATAATAAAGAATAATAATTAGGTGCTTGAAGACTCTGGCCCAGTTCTTCAGCTGGAAGCATTGAAGTAATGGAGCTGTACTGATTTATACCAGCTGAACATCAGGCCCAGTAATTTTTGCTCATATGAACAGGGCTAAATTGACTGCCAAATATGGGGTCAGGAATCCATTTCCTAAAATGTTTTGTCAGAGATCTTGGTTTTTCTGCCTACCTTTGTAATATTGAGCCAGGGTTATTTCCTACATGATTAACATCTTGTCCTGCCATGGGGCTGGGACATTCTTGGATCTCAGGACTGTGTGTCACCTAAGTATCAGATTTTAGAAAACATACAGCTATGTGAGAAATGCATGAAGTGCAGACTGCATGCATGCACACGGACACACACACACACACACACACACAAACAGAACAGGAGTACTTGTGGCACCTTAGAGACTAACAAATTTATTTCAGCATAAGCTTTCGTGGGCTACAGCTCACTTCTTCAGATGCATAGAGTGAAACACACAGACAGAAGATATTTATACATACAGAGAACATGAAAAGGTGGAAGTATGCATACCAATTGTAAGAGGCCAATCAATTGAGATGAGCCATCAGTAGCAGCAGAAGAAAAAACTTTGAAGTGGTAATCGAGATGACCCATAGAAGGTGTGAGGATAACTTAACATGGGGGAAAAAAAATTCAATTAGTGTAATGACCCAACCATTTCCAGTCTCTGTTTAGACCTAAGTTAATTGTGTCTAATTTGCATATTAATTCGAGTTCAGCAGTCTCTCTGGAGTCTGTTTTTGAAGTTTTTTTGTTGCAAAACTGACACCTTCAAGTCTGTCACTGAGTGATTAGAGAGGTTGAAGTGTTCTCCCACTGGTTTTTGAATGTTATGATTCCTGATGTCAGATTTGTGTCCATTTATTCTTTTGCGTAGAGACTGTCCAGTTTGGTCAATGTACATGGCAGAGGGGCACTGCTGGCACATGATGGCATATATCACGTTGGTAGATGTGCAGGTGAACGAGCCCCTGATGGTGTGGTTAGGTCCTATGATGGTGTCACTTGAATAAATATGTGGACAGAGCTGGCATCGGGCTTTGTTGCAAGGATAGGTTCCTGGGCGGGTTAGTGTTTTTGTTGTATGGTGTGCGGTTGCTGGTGAGTGTTTGCTTAAGGTTGGGAGGCTGTCTGTAAGCGAGGACTGGTCTGTCTCCCAAGATCTGTGAGAGTGAGGGATCATCTTTCAGGATAGGTTGTAGATCTTTGATGATGCGGTGGAGAGGTTTCAGTTGG